TTTAGGCAAACCAGCAGCACAACAAATATTTTCAAATAAGACTCACAAACCTGAGTCAACACCAGTCTCATCAACGCTGGGGTTCTGTTGGGGTACTTTTGGTCTAAAAAACATCCTTATGTCCATCTTCACTCATGCGTTTTAGACAAGAGACTGTAGAAGAAGCCGGCTGCTGAAGGGCTTCTTCTTCAGTGGTGGAGGCTCAGGCAGGCTGTATACAAACTACTGCCAGCTGCTCCCTCTCTGTTGGACTTTGGTACTGCATGTTATTTCCGCGATTTAGATCCGGGGCTTTTCATGAAAAATCCGGGGCTTTAGCCCAAGTAGCCGGGCCTAACGCAGCCCCTGACGGTCTTCAACTCCCACCTCCGGCAGAGCTTTGACCGCGTCCCGAGAGCAGTGGGGGACATTGACTCCGAGTGGGCCTTGTTCCACTCTGCGATTGTTGAAGCGGCTGTTGCTAGCTGTGGTCGCAAGGTGGCCGGTGCCAGTCGTGGTGGCAACCCCCGTACCCGCTGGTGGACACCAGATGTTCGGGGAGCCGTCAGGCTGAAGAAGGAGGCCTACAGGGCGTGGCTGGTCTGTGGGTCTCCAGAGGCAGCAGACAGGTACCGGATAGCCAAGCGGGGTGCAGCAGTGGCAGTTGCCGAGGCAAAATCTCGGGCGTGGGAGGAGTTTGGTGAGGCCATGGAGAAAGACTATCGATCGGCTCCAAAGAGGTTCTGGCAAACTGTCCGGCACCTCAGGAGAGGAAGGCAGCAACTCGCTCACACTGTTTACAGTGGGGATGGGGAGCTGCTGACATCAACTGGGGCTATAGTTGGACGATGGAAGGAATACTTTGAGGAGCTCCTCAATCCCACCTATGCACATTACGAGGAGGAGCCAGAGCCAGGAGACCTGGGGATGGACTGTCCAATCTCTGGGGCAGAATTTGCTGAGGTAGTCAAACAACTACACAGCGGCGGAGCCGCGGGAGCGGATGAAGTTCGTCCTGGGTATCTCAAGGCCATGGATGTTGTAGGGTTGTCATGGTTGACACGTCTCTGCAACATTGCGTGGTCATCGGGGGCAGTTCCTGTGGAGTGGCAGACTGGGGTGGTGGTACCCATCTTTAAGAAGGGTGACCTGAGGGTGTGTTCCAACTATAGGGGGATCACACTCCTCAGCCTCCCTGGAAAGGTCTACTCCAAGGTACTGGAGAGGAGGGTCCGATCGATAGTTGGATCTCAGATTGAGGAGGAACAATGTGGTTTTCGTCCTGGCCGTAGAACTGTGAACCAGCTCTATACCCTTGCAAGGGTGATGGAGGGGGCATGGGAGATTGCCCAACCAATCCACATGTGTTTTGTGGATTTGGAGAAGGCTTATGACCGTGTCCCCAGGGGCACCCTGTGGGGGACGCTCCAGGAGTATGGGGTGGGTGGCTTTCTGTTAAGGGCCATTCAGTCCCTTTACCAGAGGAGCGTGAATTTGGTCCGCATAGCCGGTAGTAAGTCGGACCTGTTCCCGGTGAGGGTTGGACTCCGCCAGGGCTGCCCTTTGTCACCAGTTCTGTTCATTACCTTTATGGACAGAATTTCTAGGCGCAGCCGTGGTGTGGAGTGTGTCGAGTTTGGTGGCAGGAGAATCTCGTCTCTGCTTTTTGCGGATGATGTGGTCCTCCTAGCTTCATCCAGCTCTGACCTTCAGCTCTTGCTGGGTAGGTTCGCGGCCGAGTGTGAAGCGGCTGGGATGAGGATCAGCACCTCCAAATCTGAGACCATGGTTCTCGACCAGAAAAGGGTGGCTTGCCAACTCCGGGTCGGGGGAGAGGTCCTACCTCAAGTGGAGGAGTTTAAGTATCTCAGGGTCTTGTTCACGAGTGAAGGTAGGAGGGATCGGGAGATCGACAGGCGGATTGGTTCAGCATCTGCAGTGATGCGGACGCTGAGCCGATCTGTCGTGGTGAAGAGGGAGCTGAGCCAGAAAGCCAGGCTCTCGATTTACCGGTCGATCTACGTCCCAATCCTCACCTATGGTCATGAGCTTTGGGTAATGACCGAAAGAACGAGATTGTGGATACAAGCGGCCAAAATGAGTTTCCTCCGTAGGATGGCCGGGCTCAGCCTTAGAGATAGGGTGAGGAACTCGGACATTCGGGAGGGACTCGGAGTAGAACCGCTGCTCCTCCGGATCGAAAGGAGCCAGTTGAGGTGGTTTGGGCATCTGGTCAGGATGCCTCCTGGACGCCTCCCCGGGGAGGTGTTTCGGGCATGTCTTGCCGGCAGGAGGCCCCCGGGGCGACCCAGGACACGTTGGAGAGGTTACATCTCCAATCTGGTCCGGCAACGCCTTGGGGTCCTGCCAGAGGAGCTGGTGGAGGTGGCCGGGGAGTGGACGGTCTAGAGCTCCCTAGTTGGGATGCAACCCAGACCTGGATAAGCGGAGGAAGATGACGACGACGACGTAATCAAGAAATAAATAAAACTTGGGGTGACAATGGGGTGATCACCCTAAAATAATTGGATATCACACATCTACAGCCAAGCAGGTCGTTTTGATGGGACATTTGTGGAGGTGCATGCTTCAGTTTGAGTCGTATTACTAACTAACTAACTGACTGTTACATCCTCTATTGGTGGATAAGGAGAAGGATGGGGAGTAACACAGACGCATGTGTTTCAGGTGTGAAAATTTTAAACGTTGATTTTATTAAAAGGATTTTAAAATGACAAAAAGCTCCAAATCTAAAAGTACTTAAAACACATTGTTAAAATGGCCAAGGGTTTACGTTTAAAACAGACATCCAAATGCTCCCAAACATTCACAAAACAAAGTCCACTAACTTAAACACAAGTTTGGGAGCCAAGAGGAAACCAGCACTCTGGTCTGTTAAAAACCTCTAAAAGCTCTTAAGCTTCACTATGCTTAAAGAACTAAAACCCATTTAAAAGCCATTAAAACACAAACAAATGGAGCACATGAGAGGACTGGCACAGATCCAGTCTCTTCCTTCCTCCTGGCAGCTCTCCCTTTCATGCTACTCAGCCCAAGTGAGTGCATCTGTGGAGGTAGGAGGAGGAGGCAATGCACTGATTGTCCTCTGCCGCGTCAGATTTCCAGTGGCGTGTCCAGATCTTTTAAAATGGGGTGGCCCAGGTGAGGCACAACTTTGTGCATGGGTGGCACCAATGGTTATGCTTTTTTGTTTTACCCCCAAGCCTATTGTGGACAATGAAATGCCTATCTAAAGGTAAATTAGTGTGGTGGCACCTGGGGTGGCCAGTAAGATTCCAAGGGTGGTATGTGCTACCCCAGGCCACTCCCTGGACACACCCCTGCAGCTTTCTGGGACAAAACAGCAACAGCTGTAACACTGACTGACTGACTGACTGACTGACAGACAGACATACTAACTACATTTTGGGGTGGCACTGACATTGGGTGAGCAGGTCGTTTTGATGGAACATTTGTGGGGGTGTATGCCCCTGTACCATCAGATCGCATTCCCCCATAGTTTCCCCTATAGCTCCGCTCAACCCTCGCGTCAAAAGTGCTGCTTGGCTCCACCCAAGCGGCAAAAAATAAATAATCCCGCGTGCAATGTTTGCTCGTTCACTCACTAAAGATATGTCAATCACTCACAGGAAGTAGATTTGTCTTTCATTATCTGAGAGTATCTGATAAGTTAAAAAACAAAATATGTTTTGTTGAATTTGATTTTCAGAGCGTCACTATTTTCCTTGTTCTTTAGAACACAGATGTATTGAAATACAGAGAAAGCAACTTGTGAATACAACATATGTTAACATAATAAGCATAGCATTTTAACACAAGCATATTCACACATGGGAAGTATCAAAGTAGTTAACGGGCCAAAAAAGGCTGGAGACCCCTGGCCTAAATAGTTTTCTTCTATATCAGGTGACTCGCTTAACGCTAAAGCCTTAAAGACCCTTAACCAGGTGGCCTTACCTGTTATACCCTATGACACCTGCAAACGGATGGATGACTGGTGGTTCCAGGTCAAGTCCTCTATGACCTGTCGTGGTTATACCCTTCCCGATGAGTTCAAGTCAGTCTGTCAGGTAAAACAGCCCTTTAAGAGCTGCACTAGCAAATATTGTATTGTAATGATTTTTGAAAAACATTTGTCTTTAAAATTCAACAGGGAGACAGATGATCTGCTGGTTTGTCAGGGTGCTCCTGGTGCACTCTGGGATGTTCATGGTATAACCAGCTTTGGCCCAATTGGATGCATTATGAACAAAAAGCCGTTGGTGTTCATCCATACCTCTACCTACCTCCCCTGGATCTCAAATGTCATGCACAGACATCTACAATCAGCAGCAGAATATGAACCCAGCTGCATGAAATGACCCAATTTGCTCACAGACTCATTATAAACACAGAGAGTGCCTCTTCTTCTCTCTGCAGCATCGGGTTGTGGAGGCCCAAAGCACTTGACCGGCACAGACAGTACCATATCCTCTATGGGTTACCCTGGCACCTACAGCAACAAAGCATAGTGCCATTGGAGCATCGAATCGCCTGCAGAGAAACTGGTCCACCTGCATTTCAACAACTCCTCCCGAGAGAGTCAGCTATGAATAAATGACAAAGTCAGCCTCACAGACCACGTAGGAACTTGGAAGTCTGGGTATGTGCCAATCTGCTGGGGTTTGCTGTAAAAACATGTCAAAGTCAAGTGACAGGTTGTTGACAGTTTGTAGACATCCTTCATCTTACAGCGTGACTGGCAACACAAAAATCGTATGAAGTGTTTTGAACTGCCTCGCTGAAGCCAACTCAGAGGTCAGTAGAGGTCGCCAGATGATGCAACGTGCCAATTTGCATATTAATGATGTAATTGCATCACATTTGCGCTCTTTTCCTCAACATTTGCACCTACATTACCTGATCAAGTGAGTCCAACAGTGAATTTACAGGAGTATAGAATGGAGGGTGGCGACTTGTTCTTTTGCAAGTTCACCCTCGCTTTTACCCGATAGATCTCATCATGGACGTAATTTTTTTTTGGGGGGGGGGGACATGTCCCCCCCACTTTTTCCAAAGTCAGGTTTTGACCCCTGCACTTTTTACCATCCAAAAACAATATTACGCTATATTAAAGTGACACTGGTTGAGCTCTAGGCCCAAGCAGAAAACAACCATTTGTGTTGAAGCCTGTTTCCCGTTAGAGCATACTGTAAAGATCCCCCCCCCCTCCCCACTTCTAAAGTGAAAATTACGTCCATGGATCTCATAGAGAGCGATTATTACAAGAGTTAAGGGTTAGCTAGCTAGCTGACGAATGTTAGCTTACATTCGCCCTGCTGCAGTTCACTGATGTAAACAAGTGGCAGACTTTGCCAGATTTTACCCTACTGGATACATAACACGTGATTAACAGAGTTTCCTTTTACACTACAGCTGATAAAAGAACGTTAAGCAAAGTTTATACTTCAACAAGTTTGCGATCACACACACGCACAGACGTTTTCCCTCTGCTGGTATGTCAGTCATGAAGCAGTTCTCCACCAGGACAACAGAGGGCGTAGCGCGCTTCAGTCAATGTTTTCATTGTCGGAGTTTTTCCGTGAGATGTTCATCTATCTGCTCAGTGTCTACCGCTAGATATTTTCAGCTCTTATTTTTTTTAGGCTGAAAGGCGGTGCTGTTGACAAAGTTAAAGAACAAGTCACTCCCTACCAGTCTTATCCACTCCCACTGCCCGCCAGGCCGAGGGTGGAGCCACCAACAAATACACACACACAACATTGTGACATCATAATGTACCAGCTAAAGTCATAGTGTACACCTTAGCCAATAAGAGTTGGCAGATTTAAATTCAAAGTCAAAGACTCAATTTTGGGTGGAGTGTCTTACGAGCAACAATCTACTGACAAATAATATAAAGAAACAGGAATACTTACAATCAGAATAAATTTCAATATAAAGTCTGGAAAAAGACATTTTAAACTTTAATTCATATTTTATTTAATGATGTAATTAGCCATAAAGAAAATGAAAAATAAAAATTTGATGAGAAAATAAATCTGAACAGTGTTAAATATATTTGCACAGTTTAACTCTTGACATATAGTAAAATATTGAACATAGTGATAATTAACACCTTGAGGCTGTGGTTGGAACGTCCCCATCATAAATCATGGTTTCACCCGATCAGTACTTTTCATTTACAAATGGCATTTAAGGATTTCTATATAACAGAACACATTTACAACGTTGGAAATAAAAACACTGGCAAATATTAAGTAATACAACAAAAAGCCCAAATTTAATGATAATCTGCCGTCTTATAGTTCAAGTCTGCCTTACACTGGAAAATGTTAATCACAGCTCAGCCAGGTCGCATCAAACAGATGGGCCTTACCGATTGAGATTATTATATAAGCAAACATTCACTCTGTCATCCATGACTCCTTGAACTCTAGCGGTGCGTTCAGGGTCCGTTGTATTTTCCAAAAGACACAAAAATACAGCAAAATATTTCCACTTACAAGCAAAATCAAGCAAAATCAACTAAATAAGTCCTGCACGTTTAAAATATTCAGATATGTGGGATATAGGATATTCATGAAACAACATATACATAACAGTGTTGCACCAGTACATAAATATAACTATTTACAATATGTACACTATACACTTTGTACACTGAACACTTACTTCCTTTGCGCCCGAACTTTGTGGGTTTCAGATCCCATCAGGTATCAGGCCTAATTTTTAGACGTTTGATCTGATTTTGTCTAAAAAGGAAACAAATTCTTATCTAGAGAAATAAGGTAAATATGCTTAAGCCTTTGGGGTCCAGGGTATAAATAGCAGTTTTTGATTATTTAGATTCTTCCTTTCCAAAATAAAAAAATATTTCTACTGCCTTATTTGTTTTCTAATGTTTTCTGTCAACGTCTGTCTCACAGTTCACCGCGATCCGTGACCGCTCGTATTTGCAGTTTTCATAACTTCTGATTGTCTAATAAAAGGCAATTCCTTTAGTTTAGTACAACACACCTTTACTTGACCTATTACCAAATTTAAAACTAGGATAAAGCTTATAATCTCCACTTTAAATGTGAACTGAAACTGAAACTCAGGGAGGCAGAGTCTCGCCGCTACGACGTCCCAAATCAGACCTGTTTAAACGACGCAGATCCGCGTCCACAGAACCAAGAGGCTTAAATATGATGCCGATTTTCTTGAGTAAAAACATCTGCCAATGGGGAAGGCAAAAGTTGCTTGGCTAGAAATCTTAAAACTAGCAAAATAATTCATTTTATTTGTTAATTTTAAGATTTCTAGCCAAGCAACTTTTGCCTTCCCCATTGAGATTTTTTTTACTCAAAACAAGATAATCTGGATTATATTTAAGATGAACCCTTTTCTAGAAAATTCATTTATTTCTAGACTTAAAAAAAGACAAATATCCAAAAATGAGGCCATTGTTACCCTCTTAGAAATCAGTTTTTGCAGTGCAGAGCAATAAACGGCTGGTTTAATAAACTCCATTATGCACTAATATGCATTACATTTGAAGCTGTTTTGTGCGAAAGGACAGCGGTGGTCCTCTATTAGGTCATTTCAATAAAGAAACCTGTAAGTGTTCAGTTTAGAAACACAAAAATTCACTTCTTTACTCTGAATCTCATTTTTGTTGTGAAACACATTTAAGTGTCATTCTTGTTTGGCTTTAATTTTACTTTGCATCAACTGAGAAGCAAATTCATTATTAATTTGGTCCGATGATGCAGATGTAAAATTAGCACCTGGAATACTTTCTGTGCCTTTTGTGTTTAAATAACTCTCCTTTCAGACGATGTTGTTTTGGGAGAGGAGGGTTTAAATGAATCATCGCTGTTTATTCACTAAGCTCTGACACAAAGCCAGAACAAAGGGTCTTCTGTGCCTGACATGCCTGAGTGGAGGACGCACACTCACAAATCACACTTCTAAAAATTATTTTGATGATTTGCATCAAAATGTGCTGATTTAACTCAGGACTGCATTTCTGCTCAAAACGTTTTAGAATTATTAAGTATCAGATGGTGTATTTTTCTACTATTCTAACAATGTAGCTGTAAATATTGGAAATGCATCAAAGGTGAAACCTTCTGCCTCTATAAAATTAGGTATTTTTTTATTTCAACATTAAACATCTGCTTTAGACTATTATTGTTAAATAAAAATGTCTGCTTTTAAATTCTTCCCAGTTTTCGGTACTTATTAGTTTGCTAGTATAAACCATTTTTTAAATTTGGTGCACATTATGAGTTTGCTGCTCCTTACATTGCAGAAGCTGCTTTAAATGACACATCATACCCCTCAGGCATCCTTGTTCAAACATACTGCTATCGTTAGGTTGATTCCAGGGCGTAGAATGTATTGCACATGTTAGCTGGCTCTGCACACCACACCTCTTAACCCAGAGGCCTGCTGACTAGGCCCAGCGGCTGCTGGACACAAAACTTCTGCTGAAGGAGAAGCTGATATCTGAACTCTTGTGTCTTCCCCAAGCTCCAAATGGCACCACAATGATTGTGCTGTTGTCCTCTGTGCCATAATGAAGAGCCTGAGAATAACACAAACAACATTTTACCAATAAGGTTTAGGCCAAATGTATGATTCAGTTACATTGTCCTTGAATCCATGACAGATTTTATCTCAGTAATAACTCAAAAATCCTCTGAAATACAAAACATAAATGAAGTTAACTTAAATTTGCTCATATTTAAAATGAAAAATGTGAGCTAATTTTAAGTTGGAATATGGAACATTTTAATAAAAAGCTATATTAAAAAGAATAATAACTCCATGGGGCATTCAGAGGTGTGCAGAATGAATGTAAAATTTCTCCTTTTAAAGCTATATTTAAAAAAGATAAATCAAATTTTCCATTCTGTCGGGCACAACACGGTTGACGTTTACATCTAACAGCCACTAGAGGGCACCGTTGCACTGAAAAGTCCACTCGGCAAGTCAAGGTTGGGACTGTGTAAAATGGCAGACTTGACAAGTCAAGCAGCTGATTCTGGGCCCAGAAGATGTTCTAACAGTGAATACTGTTGTAAAATTAACATATTAGTAGAAATTAGTCCTTATCCTATGATATTTGTCTCTGAACATGGTGCTGGAACGTGTCAGCAGTGAACCAACATCTCAGCAGCTGGAAAATTAGTTGTTGCTGCAACACCACCTCTGAACACCAGAGTTCACCACATTGTCCATGTTCCACAGTAAACCATTACATTTTAATAGGTGTAGAACACAATTTTTATGATAAGCCTGCATAAATCCATTCTATGCAACGTTTTCATATTTTTATTGATTTTCTTGAACCTGTACAGGTCCTTCTCAAAGAATTAGCATATTGTGATAAAGTTCATTAATGTCTGTAATGTAATAATAATAATAATACATTTTATTTAAAAGCACCTTTCAGAACACCCAAGGTCACTTGACAGAAAACACGTAATACAATAAAACAATAATAAAACCCAAACAAGAAAAAAAAACAGAGAGAAACAGTTCAATAAAATCAGAGGTTGTAGGCAGATTTAAACATATGTGTTTTGAGTTTTGTTTTGAAAACTGAAAACTTACCCTCTTGCTTGAGGGTGTCAATGATGGCCTTCTGGACAGCAGTCAGGTAGCAGTCTTACCCATGATTGTGGGTTTGAGTAATGAACCAGGCTGGGAGTTTTTTTTAAAACCTCAGGAATCTTTTGCAGATGTTTAGAGTTAATTGGTTGATTCAGATGATAAAGTTAATAGGTCATTTAGAGAAGCTTTTCATGATATGCTAATTTTTTGAGATAGGAATTTTGGGTTTTTATGAGCTGTATGCCAAAATCATCAATGTTAGAAACAAGAAAAGGCTTGAACTACTTCAGTTGTGTGTAATGAATCTAATATACATGAAAGGCTAATGTTTATCAGTACATTACAGACAATAATGAACTTTATCACAATATGCTAATTTTTGAGAAGGACCTGTATGTGCTAAAAGGACATACACTTAAGGCAGTGTTTCCCCTACATAAACTCAGGCGTGACGCTGCGCCACAGCTGAAATTCCAGTGCTACGCACACGGTCCATTTTTTTCTACCTGGTCAGAGATTCTCTGAGCGGCCTCTTTGGGGTCGTGGCACTGGTTGATAACGTTACAGATTTCCTGGCTGTTCATAATGAAGTTAATCCCATCTGTGGTCAGAGCCAGGAAGGAGTCATGGACATGATGCAACTGAGGAAAAGAACAATTATTTTACAATTTACAACTGGACATTTCTGAAAACAAATTTAATACAGTGAACAAACATATAAACAGCACTTTTGTTTTTACTCCCGTTTTTCACGAGCTGAACTCAATCATCTGAAACTTTTTCTACATGCACAAAACATCCATGACTCTCAAATATTGTTCTGAAATCTGTCTACATGTGTGTTAGTGAGCACTTTTCCTTTACCAAGATAACCCATGCCACCTCACAGGTGTGGCATATCAAGGGGCTGATATCAAGGGGCTGATTAGACAGCTTGAATAATGTACAAGTGTGCCTTAGACTGCCCACAATAAAAGGCCACCCTGAAATGTGCAGTTTGATCAAACAGCACAATGCCAAATGCTGCAACCTTTGAGGGAGCGTGCAACTGTCATGCTGACTGCAGGAATGTCTGTGATGATGAGCAGATTGCTGATGTCATCGTTGTGGAACAAGTGGCCCATGGTGGCGGCGAGGTACAGGTATGGGCAGGCATATGTTATGGACAATGAACAAAGGTGCATTTTGTTGATGGCATTTCAAATGCACAGAGGTACCGTGACAAGATCCTGAGGTCCGTTGTTGTGCCATTCATCCACGACCACCACCTCATGATGCAGCATGATAACGCATCGCTCCATATTGCAATGATCTGTACACAATTCCTGGAAGCTGAAAACATCCCAGTACTTGCCTGGTCAGCATACTCACCAGACATGTCACCCATTGGGCATGCTTGAGATGCTCTGGATCGGCGTATACAACAGCCTGTTCCACTTCCTGCCTATATTCAGCAACTTCACACAGCTACTGAAGAGGAGTGGACCAACATTCCACAGGCCACAATCAACAACCTGATCAACTCTATGTGACGGAGATGTGTTGCCCTGTGTAACGTCACGAAATGGCCTGATTTTGAGATCCCACAGGTCAAGATCTACAGCTAGGTCAATTTAACCTGGCTATGACACAACCTACAATACTTTCCCCTCACGGGAGACTGGAAGTCTGCCCGTAGTCCCTTTAATCAGAGCCTGCCTTCCTCACACCAACTGGACGCGCGTGTGTTCGCTCACACGTGGCCTACACTTCTTGTGTCCAGGCACACTGTGTGTGGCATTGATGGGTTGTCGGGTGATTCCAAATGTCCTATGACTGTGACTCCACGTTTGCATGTTGTTCAAACTACTGCTGTTGTTGTTGGTTAACGCTGGTTAGTTAATACCCCTGCTCGTGAAGCGGATGTTTTCTATGAGCGTCATGGTGTGTCCACACGTGTTGTGCTTCCATCTCAAACCCTATGGGTGACAGTTCCACGTAGTGCTACGGTCCATGTAGGTGAGGTCTCTCGATATTACTTGGATCCTGGTGAGCATAAGTCTGTTGTGGAGTTTTCTCCTTTTTATGATAACATCTCCTTTGCTCTTTCTCCAACTACGGTGGATTGTGTTACGTTCAGTGGTCCAACCATGGTTCGGGTTGGTGTGGTAAACAGAGTGCTGCGTGAGTTGTTGGCAGATCCCAGTCTCAGGTTTCAACCAGTGTCTTACTCCTGGTCCTCCGCTGATTCTGTCGTGTTATTCACTGCATGCTTGTCTTTGGGGGTGTCATTTCTTCTGTTCCATCACTTCTCTGCACGGTTGACCTCTCTAGGGGACTCGGTCCGCAACATCGGTGGCCGCCTATCTCGAACTCTCGCTATAGAACAATCTCAGAACAATATTTAAGAATCATAAGACGTTTGTGTATGTAGACAATTTTTCAGATGTTTGCTCATGAAAAATGGGAGCAAAAACTAAAGTGGTGCTTTTATATTTTTGTTCAGTGTAAATGACTGGTTTCAGTTCTAAAATGAACTATCAATAAACCTCCTACCGTCATTGCTTTGGTTTCTGGCTCAGCGATGACCCCTGTCTTCTTCAGGTCAAAGTCTCCGATACTGCGTGTCATTGCCAACCTCCCGTTAACGTTCGGCTGTCCAAGGCTATTCCATGTCACAAACCCTCCGCTTTTTTTTATCCTTGAGACCACAGTACATTTGTAAGAAAGCTTTTTTTTTTGTTTTATACAGAAATAGAACAATGCTTTCTCACCTTGGTTAGACATTTAAAAAAATTTGTTTATATTTCAAAATGAAAAATATGAAAAATTTCATCACACACACTACTATAGCCTAAGGGCTACTCTAGAGTAAAGCCTAATTTATACTTCTCTTTCTGCCTTGGGGAGGATGCACACAACGCCATTATCTGTCCTTGCGAGCCTGCTGGAGAGCCCTCGCAAGAACGAACAAAGTCGAGCTCTCTTTTTTAAACATCCGTCTGTTGAGACGGAGAACGCAAGCTTGTGATTGATCAGGACGCGGCTGTCGTGTACAGCGCCCTCAAAAACAAAGAGAGCCAAGGATACCTAGTGGCAGACACAGGAGCAGCTTGAAGAATACCTTGTGGAAAAACTCTAAAAATATGAATGTTTTACTACACTGTGACTAGAGAGTGAAAAGATATGCGGAAAGCATTTTATCCATGGATGGAAATTATGGGAAATGTGGGTTTAGAGGTGGCAAGCGCATGAAGAGGTGGAGGAGGATGAAGGACAAGTTTGTCCGTGTTACCTCATTCACTGCCAGCCGTTTCCTGATCAGAAAAGCCCTGCGCAGCCAGCGTTTCAGGATTTTTTTTAAGTCACAGAACGTTGCCCTCTATGATGTCAATGCCAAAACTACCAAAACAAAGAGTAGACTCACCTCTTACATCAGCAAGATTCTGCGTGTTTCGAGTGTTATCCGTTCTTTCGTAATCCCGTGCCGAATTGCTTTTCCAGTTCGCGCCTTACTTTTTTTTTTTCCTTTCTTTTCTTTTTTTTTTTACAGCAGCAGCCCAAAACGACCTAACACAGATTTTCTGCTTCCTGATCACGAGACGTGTGATGTACGCGGGTGGAGATCAGCTTTAGACCTGGGATGTTTGTTCTCACGGTGCGGGGGCTCATTCCCACGCCCACACAGTAAAAAAATGCAAAGTCATCAATGGCAGTGAACGGTTGTATTTAAAATGACGACTTTTGTCATCAATGGCAGTTAATGAGTTTGAGTAACTGAAACACAAAAAACACTATAAAAACACACCATCTTGGACCAGATACATGACAGGATACCACAGAACAGCACTATGCCATCTGTTGTCCTGCCAGGGAATTACTTTGCAACACCCCCCAGGAAACGGAGAAGAATGAGGTCAAATTGCCTCCGTCCGTGTGTGCGTGTCTCTCCCTCATGGAGCTGACGGAGAAGTATAAATTAGGCTTAAGGGCTATTATCATGTAAGAGCTACTATGGTGTAAGGGCTGCTAGAACATGGGGCCACACTATAGCTTAAGGGCTACTATAGTATAAAGACTACTATAGCATGGGGCTACTGTAGCATAAGGTAGTGTTTCTCAACCCTGGTCCCCACACATGTGTTCCACGTCTCTGCTTCAGCACACCTGATTTACGTGTTTGCAGTGCTTCCTCAGGATGACGTCAAGTGCTACAGAAGTTTGTTAATCACTCACTGATTTAAGTCAGGTATGTGGCAGCAGGGGAAACACTGGTGTTTGAATAGGGCAACATGAAAAACATGTAGGCCAGGGAGGCGCTGAGAACCAATGTTGAGAAAACCTTTTCTTTGTTGGATTTCTTCTTTAGTTTTGGCTAAAACCTTTTTAAATAAATCCTGGACTTCCATAACAAAAATACGCAAAAATTTCCCTAATAAGCAAAGCTAAACAAAAATGCTTTTTTTTTTATTATTCACAAAAATGTCCAATTTATACATCTCTTCATCAAAGTAATTTTCAGTAGAGCCAAGTTTTACATTAGTGAAAGGATGCCGACATCATTTACCTGTCTTTCTCATCCTTCCTCTCAGGAGTGTGGTCGACAGTGAGTTTCAGGGCCTTTCCCTTGCGACACAACATGGCACGACTGTCCCCCACACTGGCGACAACCAGTTCAATGCCATCCCTTAGCAGGGCCACGGTGGCGGTGGTTCCTGCGTTTATTCCTGGTCCTACAAAGACATTTGAGGAACCATCAGACATGGAAGAAAATGTGAACAAAAACAAAAGAACAATCAAATGGTATACCTCCCAACCACAAAGAAGACACAAACACGTTAGTGTGAAAGTCATTACAGACTTAGAGCAGACTACAGATTACACAGTAAAAAACAAAAACATGCAGATGGAACTGTTGCTGCACGGAGCCGAGATTCAGAACAACTTTTATAACAGTTTAGTCTAAGAATGAATCTTAGCACTTGTTATAAAGTGACCCACAACAGTCACAGGTGTCCAACGTCGGCCTTGATTCATTAAGAGCAACACAAACGTAACATAACAGAATAACATTTTTTTTCACAATGTCCATAAGAACATTGAGAACAGAACAAAAAAATAATGAATCACAATAAAACTGAATCCGTTCATAACACTAACTCTTTATCGTAACTGGTAAAGCAATCACACACGTCTGAGTCTTCTGACAATCATTTAAGTCTGGCAAACTTTGTTTTCTTAATAAAAACAAATCCAATGTTCTTCCTTAAAGGATAAAAAACGTTAAAATGAAAACTGTGGGCCTGCAGGACACCCTCTTCTTAACAGATTCATAATATAATTACTAGCTACAGATAGGGCTGCTCAATTAATCAAATTTTAATCACGATTACGATCTGAGTTTTGAATGATTATTAAAACAAAACAAGCCGATTATTTGCTCCTCTCTCTTGCGCTGCCCCGAGTTGCAAATGAAGCGCTCCTCCCACAGTGTTGCCAACTTGGCGACTTTGACGCTATTTCCAACAGCTTTTCAGACCCCCTTCTTAACATTTTAAATCTTAAAAGTACCTAGCGAACACCTCAGAAACATCTCTGGTAACCCTTAGCTACTTTCTGGATAACTGTCGTCGACATTTCCTGCAGGTTAGCTAAACACTCCGCCTGCGCTCCGGACCGTTCTTCAGGACATTAGGAAAGGGAATGATGTAGTGATGTGTCGGTCGCTAAAGAAACAGCTCTCAGAGCCGGCTTCCTGTTGGAGTAACCAGAGTGAGTGACACACCGCACCTGCGGACTCCTGAGCCACTAAAAACGGCTAAATGTGCGCGTGCAGCGCGCTAAACACACGTGCAGCGGGTTGGGGGGTGGGGGTGCAGCTGTGGTTGGGACAATTATTACATTAACTGATGGACTTGTAAATAAATAGTTTATAAATAAGGTAGAAATAACTTCCTCACGCTGATAACTAATAACTAATCTCTCTGAGGACACGGTGCTAGTGCACTCTCCTACAGCACCTTGACACGACTCAATAAATGTTATGCAACATTTTGTGAACATCAATTTATTTGCATTTATTTGTTATAAATGCCGCTGTATAATTCTTGCTGTCAGTATTTGCAAGATATTGGTATTTGGGTCTGTACTGGTTAGACTTAAATGAGTTAAACCAAGGTCTATAGCCCTTGGGTCATAGACTATGAGCTATAAGTATATCGGTCTTTTTATACTGGGAATCAGGAGTTATTTTAGTGATCATCTTGTTTCTTATTTTTGCCCTGATTGTGCCCTGAGCAATTTTATGACTGAATAAAAACAAATAAAATCAACATTAATTGAAAAATCGTCCTAAATAATCGAGATCTCAATTTCAGTCACCATAATCGTGATTATTATTTTTGCCATAATCGAGCAGCCCTAGCTACAGACGATCAGGCCATTGTTTGTATCCTCATCTTAAACCTGCTGTATCTGATGAAGGTCTGCCTTGGGCAAACATCTCGTCAAACTGAAGCACTGTCACAAGCATACACTTGCTAAGAGAAGAAAAGAAAAAGAGGATTGAGAGAAAGAGAACCTTCCAGTAGTCCAGGATTTAGGACCCGCTGGACTCTCCTTCAATATCTAGCCTCTCGCCATCCACACTGGTACCAAGGGCCTCCAGCTCTTAGCTGGGTCAGCAGCTGCCGTAGATAACATGCACACACACAGGCATATTGGGACATTTCACACAGCGTGGCCCAAATTAGGCCGCATTACAGGTACACTAGCTTTGAGCGACTTGGGGAAAAAAATAAAGAGAATTAAAAGTTCAAGTGATCGTTTAATGTCCTAACATATAACTGAAGATGTATCAAGATAAGTGTGTGCATTATTCTTCTGTGGGAGGTTAAAATAACCTCAAGCAATTTTACTAATCGTGCAAAATGGTGTACATCAGTGGGTAAGTTGGTTTGATCTATCAGAGGATAATAAAAAAATGTAATGTTTCTGTTATTACCAGAAGATAAATACAATCTCAAAATGAGCAACAGCAGCACATTAGCAACAAAATTAAAAGAAGAAAAACATGAAATTCTGCAATATGGCTAAACATCTCCACTGTGGTCTGATTAGTCTAAATGATCAGCTGACAGAAATCTTGTGGCCTTTTCTGATGAACCACGAAGCTTCGATGCATTTTTTAACAGAAAAGCAGCTCTCTCCCTCTCACCTTGGAAATCCTCAACAAGGGTTGTGCATTCTTTTCCAAAGTGAAATTAAAGTGCTCACCGAGTTCAGAAGAGTGATATTTAGTTGTGTGTTTATTTTTGGACACTGCACTGTTCAAAGAAACGTGCAGACATATCCAATCAAAAGAATCAGATTAACAGAATCTGTTGCTCTTAAGCTCAAATGTCCAGTTGGAGATGAAAAAATGAAATTATCGTTTGTCCCACTCACTGAATCTAAATTCAGACTTGTCCTTAGTTAAATAAATGTTGAAGTTGAATCCATCGTGTGCTGTTGTTCATCTGTGTTTGTATTTAACCCGAAAATTTTGCTAGGATGTGCTTTTATATCATGAAAAACAGACAGGCCAAAAATTAAGGGAAAATTACAAACCAGCTGATTAGAGCTGATTGTTTGTTGACATTTCCTGTTAAATAGGGATGTCCGATATTATCGGTCTACTGATATTGGCCTTAAAATATCTTATTGGAAAATATCAGTATCGTTTTATATTCCTTAGTGACACAACCTTTACACACCATGCACATATTACACAGCATATCCTTTGGCTTCATCTCTTCTTTCAAAATGCCAAAATACGACAGATCTGAGGTTTAGTTTTTGAGATATTTTAGTTTTATTTTGGCACAACTTGTGAATTAATAGAAATTTGCTGTTCTTAGGCCACATTTGTGTAGCTAGCCAGCAAACTAAAACAAACACAAGAGTCTTCAACTAAGGCATGCTTTTCTAAAATGAATATCTTTATGAATGTTTAATCACCGTAACTAGAAACAGAAAAATTACATTACTGACTAATGCACACGTCTTAGCGTCGCGCTTAGTAATTAGCCTAGCTTAGCATGTGAACGCTCACACTGCTTACATTTTAACATCTAAGTAACTGTAACACACGCCCAAACATTCCCAAAACAAACTGATACTTACAAAGACAAATGTTTTCCATGAGTCGAACGTTTAAAGCAAAATATCAGCGTATTCATTATCAGTTTATTGTCCCGTTTCTGCCTCAGTGCCAGATCTAAACGCTGGGAGTGGACAAAACGGAAGCTTTGCTGCTCTCACGTTGCTGCTGGCTGTTCATTACACCAGCCATCTATGTGACAGCACACCTCCTGTCCAAAGAGGGGGCCCACAGTCTGCTTATTGAGGACCACTGCTATAGACTTTTCTAGCCCAGTGAATGCTCTGGGGGCAATTGGTGACCCATCCAACATGGCGGCCCACAGTTACACCAACGCGGTACGAAACCCCAGCCCATGTCGCCTCTACATTTAAATGATCTGATCCCTGTGCTTCTCATTTAATTTTTTGTTTTGGAAATCAAACACGATGTCCAGACAAACTGGAGATTGTACAACCCCAACATACACACACATTAACCATCGTTAAACTAGTTGAATCGGTGTTACCTCAACAACTAGGGATGCACCGATACCGATACTGGTATCGATGTCGATACCAACACCAGTATCAGTATTGGTAAAAGTTAACCGATACCAGGAACCGATACCAATGCAGTTGCTTGGAAATGGCTTCACTGTAACTTGTCATTTCTGGTCACCTAATATTTTAGCTTTGTGATGATTTCCATTCATATATTTTACTTTTTATCTACCTCACAGTCTTTTCCTGTTGAAAGCAAAGAAGAAATAAAATCTGTATTCCAAATCATTGCATTGTTTTGTGTGGTGGAAGTATCGGTATCAGTAATCGGCAAGTACTCAGATCCAAGTATCGGTATCGTATCTGTTTGGAAAAAAAGAGGTATCGGTGCATCCCTATAAACAACTAAAAATAACTGGGGACAAGTGCGTCTTCCTCTGAGCTTTCCTTGAGGTACGTAATGTGTCACGTGACTCCAAAACTGTTTTAGGGAAACCTGCCAACTTCCCTTGATTTAGTATTTTTAAACACCTGCTTGTTATCTGAAAACCTGGAAGAATAACCGAAGTAACTTTTTGACCTCAGATGATGTTTTTCTAACATTTTACAGAACATTAAAGATGCACTTAAAGCCTGATTAATACTTCTCCGCCAGCGTCGGTGCGGAGACGTCGTGCAACGCCACTTAGCTTCAGAGTAAGTGCTCTCCGACAGGCTCTCAGAGGGTGATGGAGAGAGCAAGTTTGTGATTGGTCAGGATGCCACTTCCTGTGAATTTGTCAACAGCGACAGATCGAGAGCAGATTGAGGAAATTATTGCGGAAAAAGTCCAAAAATATGAACGTTTATTCACCCGTGACTGAAGGAGTACAGAGATGCAGAACAAACGTGGACGGAAATGATGGGAAACGTGGGTTTAGAGGTGGCGACGGCATTTAGAAGTGGAGGAAAATAAGACAAATTTGTCCATGTTAAAGTCTCCGAAATATATAAACACATTAGTAAATACACTATCATGGACCGGATACATGAGTGTTATGGTGGCAGGATACCACAGAAAATTGCTACGCCCCCTGTTGTCTTGGCGGGGAATTGTTTTGCAACACCCCGCTACCTGAACAGAAGTTCGCATGTGAAAACCTTTGACACTGCGTGGGCGTTTCTCCGTTGCAGCTCTGACGGAGATGTATAAATGAAGCTTTAGGCTCCTTATTGGTCTGAGTTGAGAGCACTCAACTCTGTCGTGTTTCACACAGACCATGTAACAAAGATTGTTTGTAATAGAGATCTCTTAATTTGATATGTTTTCAAAACCTACATTTTAATTTTATCATTAATTAATTTGTACTATTTATTAACTTATCAAACTTTTTCCCATCATGAACTTAAATATCTCAGGCCTTACAGCAACAACATTAGTCAGGACAATCTCTGGGAGAATTTCATTCACATCCTGTTAAACACGACATTTTTTTATTACTAACTCTAATTGAAGTAGGTGCAAATTTTGCACAGATTTATGTTTGAAGCTTAAGCCTTTGTGATAGGAGATATGTGATGTTAGCAACCAATATTCTTTTTCCTTGTTTTTGTTACTGACCCTGCATATCGCTATCAGTTCATATCGGTATCGGAAATTAGACAATATCGGAAAAAGCCAATATCGAGCATCCCTACTTTTAAACAACAGTAGCTTCTACAGACTTTCAGAAAATGTCAATATATTTATTAGAACTATAAAAAAAATGGTTGAGATTGTTTGCATTGAGAACAACAGATTTCATATGGGACTATGCATGTCCTGTAAAAAGGGATTTGCATCAGTTGCGTGTACTCATGCATGATGTCCACGATTTTCCCTTAGTTTAGTACCTGTCTGTGAATAAATCTGCCATGCTGCATGTATTGAAGCTCTACAGGTTTTTCTACTTGTAGCTGGTTACTCTTCATCTGTTATTAAGAAACAACAGACCTCCAGCCACATTTGCTTAGGTCATGTCAGCAAGGAAATCCAAAGCTTCAAAGCTGAAGTAAAATAGGTATCTTGTGTTTACCAACAAAAGTACAACTGTTTGACATATAGATTTGATGGGACTACATAATTAACATGGAATATCTACACATGAAACATGGCGGAACCTACCATTTGGACAGAAGTGTAAGTGCTGTGCAAAAGCCTTGTCTACTTCAAGGAAGGCGTTTGTTAAAACTAGTTCCAGATTTTCTTCCTTTGCCACAAGGTCCCTGAAATGAAAGCAAAAGAACTATTATTTGAAAATTCAGTTTGCAGTGACAACTGATGGTGTGTGAAAACATTATTTGCAGCTTCCTTACTTTATAAACTTCTCCATGTATTTTTCACAGAAGTCAGCTGCTTCTGGTCCACCATGACCATCAAACACAGCAAAGTAGAGGATGCTGTCAGTCATTTGGGAGACCTTGAAACGATCTTCATTCTCCTTGCGCTGACCAATAAGGGAAGCACAGCCTACCTTTGATAGGCTAACTTTGGGAATGGGTTTTCCATAACGAATGCTAGGGGGAAGCAGGATGGGCTCATCTATGCGATTATCCCAGATGCCAAAGGAATCCCAGGTGGTAGGACGGCCACTACTGTCTGGATCAAAGCGTGTGTTACTGTAGTGTCTCCCTGAAGGTTGTTTGTTGAAGACTGAGAGCTCTGTCTTGTAGCTGTTGTGCTGAAATGGCAGTCGGACTACAGCCTTCTGGAAAAGTCCTACATTAGGACCACTGCACCTTACCAGGCGCACTAAACAGGCTGCTGACATCACCCTCACACAACAATCACAGGTGGTTGGACCAGGTGCTGCAATGTGCTGTCCACAAAGAAAACAGGATAGTCAGCATGGAGAAGTATATATATATATATATATATATATATATATATATATATATATATATATATATATATATATATATATATATATATATATATATTTATTTGGTTGGTTGTTAAGGATAGACTTGTGGAGTGGTACCGCGGCCATTTGTGTATCTTAATGCCGTTTTTGCAAACTGTTTTGTAGAGGTGACAAAGTATATTGAAGTTTCTATAAAATTAAAAACAACCCTTAGATAAGCATTGATCACTCAACATATTCCGCTGATAGAAATGAAGTTAAATAATTGTTATTCTTCATCTATGTGATTAAAAGAAAACTGTTTCACACAATCATTTGACCCAGTGTTATCTGACATTGTACACTGATCTGTGATATTGTCAAAACAAATAAGCTGCCAGATGCAGCTCATTAGGTTGTGTTCATAAAAAGAGGCTGTGCTAGTTTACGCCCCTAAAATATTGTTTTTAATTAAGCAAAATCCTAGTTTTTAATTGGGTCCATGTATAAAACCAATACTTTACACTTTTGAAAATACCATGGGTAAAACTATGTCCAATTTTAATCTGAAAGGTATTTAGTGGAAAATGACGTTTTTTTGTTATGACGCAACGACTATCAACATGCTAGCCGCTAATGTTTAGCATCATGCCTCAAATTGAAGATTAGTGCAACATCATGCATGTCTTGTATATCAAAACAAGTGCGTGCCTTAAATAGAACACGATTTGCTTAATACAGTAAATCCATCCCGTTACACTAACATCAGCTTCTATGTTTTATTCATAGTGAAGTGTTAGCGGTAAAATTCTAGCCTGAGCTAATGTGCTAGCTTGGGATATATATTCGCAGTTTGTTCAACACTACAAACAATAAACCGTCGGACCCTCAGCTGCGTGTAAAAAGTCTTACCTATGATTTTTACAACGTACTGGTCAGCTCAAATCCGTGTCTAACTTCCCAAACCAAAGCTCTTCTCTCCTTAGCAAGGTCTTCCAAACTGAATGAACGCCACCGCCCTCGTCACGTCTGGAATTCGATGCTGTTATCAAACAAGGGCCGTCACGTCACTGGACCAATCCGTAGCTGTTTCGTTTCACGCCCCACAAACAGAGCCTGCGATTGGTCTACATGAGGATGACTGACAAGCTAATTAGCCAATCATCAATTGGCTATTTACTGAATGGGCTTTGAGACCCACAAAACGTGTAAATAAATGCGAAAGTTTTTTAACTGGCTCATGCATGTTCACTTCTCAACGCGTGTTTGGTTGCATTTTAATGGGGTCAATCTTTCCATTCCCTCTATCACCACTTACTTTAGGTAATGTGATGCCTGAATGTTTGCTTGAGAAATGCCTTTGACCCTATTCGAATGTAGGTTAGACAAAAAACAGGTCCAACAACTTTGTCTTTTAAAAAAAGCAAATCTATTAATTTGTTCTAATTTTTCTTTCTGGACATGATTAAATAAGCTTAGCAAAACGTAAGCAATGAAATTTGTATTCACATACTGCACATATTGATAACATATTTATATTTGACAGACAACTACTTATGTACACGTCGGTTTATGATTTTTATTGCTGAGCTTGCAGGACTGGTAGAATTCACTGAAAAAGATGGCTGTGGATAGAGTGTACAGAAAATGTATTTCTCAAAGGAAATTCCCTTAAACACATAAGAGACTAAAACAAGCATATTAAAGAACAGTGGAGTGAAATAGATACATTTATTGTAAAGAAATCTTAACGTAAAATCTATGAGGCAAACTCAGCACCTCAGTGAAGCATGGTGGTGGCAGTATCATGCTGTGGTCATAGATCTTTATTGCTGTGTACATTGAATCTAAAATACTGACAAAAGAACCTAATTTAGTTTTTCTAGTGTAACCAATGACACATCACATATTGCTGGAATGGTTAAAGGAGAACATTTGAAATGACAAAACACAGATCTAGAATCTAAGAATCTGTGAAGTGAACCAAAGATTTGTGCATTTCATCCGAACACATCTGACTTGAGTGAAATTATTGATTTGTTTATTAATGTGTTGCAACCCCCAGCTTCACCTACACATTTCTGGAATTACATGTGTAAAATAAGTTTAAATTTAAAATAAAAAAAAGACCTGTTACAAAAATTACCAAAATATGATGGTGAGATGGGATTGAACACTCTAACAAAAGTGGAGTCATTACATTCATTGCAAATAATCCAAATCTCTGCTCTTTTGTCGTTCCCTTAAAATGATAGATGGCAAAACATTCACCCATTTCGGATCTATTTATTTGTAAATATGAAGGCTTTATTATACCTATGTCATAATAAAAGCGCAATAATAGCTAATAGCAATAAAAAAAATCAGTGTAAATGTCTAAATTCTGTGATTTATCGTTCTTGAATACATCTATATTTGTTTTTAATCCAACATGACAAACTAGTATTTAGGTTACAGGATCTGCTGGGTCACCGAATTTGGCTGCACTTCCGGATCGGGCAGCCAATCGTGTCTCTCTCGCCGGAGGGGTTTCTGAGCTGTTTATAAGCCTGAATACAAACGCCTTATTTCAAGATGCATTCGCCAAGGTAAATTTCTCTTTTATATTAGATTAAACAAGCCGCAGTTCTATTACAACGCCGTGTTACTGATAACCAGCGACCATTAGCTTAATGCTGGTTATCAGACTGAAGTCAGCGCAGCTTTAGCATGCTGGTTAGTTAGCTCTTACAGTAGATAGCTTGTGTGTTTTAGTTCCTATTCCAAACAAACGAAGGGAAATGCCAGCGGAGGTAATTTTATTTGTTCTAAATACTCGCAGAACACATTAAAATACTTCTCCTGACAACAAGGGTGGAACGTTTACTGTTTACAGATAATGTAGGGCTAAAGTTAGCAACTAGCCAAGCGCGATAGTGATAATCCGCAGATCATAAAACAATCATTTAACTGAGAGTGAGGTGGTGTTAATGGATGTTACAGGAACTTGTGACTTTAGAGACGCCAGCTTCTCGTGACTTGAGTTTATTATTATTAAGCCTTAAATCAATTTGAGCTCAAAACATATTTATGAGAACACTGGATAATATTTCTGATGAATTATTCTACTTGTATTGCCTTTTTTTCTAGATTAATGAAATCCAAGAAAAAAATAGCTGGCATAGTATTTGTAGTTTATGGTTTAGTTTAATTGGCTGCAGATCATCCGTATTTATTTCCCCTCACTTGTATAAATAATCAGAGCTAAAGAGATGTTTTCGGGCCTGCAGTGTACCAGATCACAGAGGCCTACTTAACATGGGGTAGTATTACTATTATTATTAGATTAGTGTCAGATGGAGGTGGAGTCATAATGGAAATCAGACGTGTATCTTTAAATTTAAGACCATTGATTAATTGTCTATTGTTTTTTTAAATAAGTGTTGATCAATAAGTGCATACTAAAATACCAATGCCAAAATAAACTGTTAAACATTTACTGTATTTCTTTAATGAAGTGTGTTTGCAGTTTCTTTTTTTACTTTTATGTGTTGATTTACATTTCACCATCTATCATTTTTGTTATTGTGGTTATAAATCTGACATATGCCCTCTAAATTATTGGCTTTACCTTTGTCATTTGATCGGATGTAAATACAGGGACACTTTGGTAATAGCATTTGTGTTTGAATCCTTTATGCTATTTATATCATCTATATTTTAGAATTTAAGTTAAAGTTAAAGTCCCATTAGTTGTCACACACACGTGTCTGTGCGAAATTTATTCTCCGCATTTGACCCATCCCCTGGGGGAGCGGTGAGCTGCAGAAACAGCCGCGCTCAGGAACTATTTGGTGGTTTAACCCCCCAATCCAACCCCTTAATGCTGAGTGTCAAGCAGGGAGGCATTGGGTCCCATTTTTCCAAAGTCTTTGGTATGACCCGACCAGGAATCGAACCCCTTATCTCGCGGACACTCTACCACTAGGCCACTGAGAAAGGTTATCCTAGAAATAAATGAGAGCTCATAATGAATGCAATTTATTATACTCTAATGTTTACATTACCTTCTCCTGTGAATGCATCAGCTTAACCCAACCACCTCTAGTCTAATCCCTGGTCAGGAAATGCAAGTACAACTTTAACATCACCAGGCTCTGTTTAATCAAGATGGTACTTTTGATTTCCCAGGATTGGAATTTACATGAAGAGGAGAAAGCGAGGCTGCTCCAAGGCTTGAAAATCATCTTCCTCCATCTGGCCGTCGCTCTCTCTGTCTCTTCAGATCGGTGCTCATTTCCTCTCCTTTCACCGTCATGCTGTGTTGGGGGAACGCCAGGGATGGGCAGTTGGGTATCGGCGTGGAGAGGCACCCCGTGTTCGAGCCGAGGAACTGCCACGTGTTCAGTAGGCGAGGGCTGATAGAGGTCGCGTGCGGAGGCCAGCACACACTGTTCCTGCTGCACGATGGAAGCGTGTACACATGCGGCTTTAACGGCTGCAGGCAGCTGGGCCACAATAAAGATGGGTCTTTCCCAGGTAACAGTTTCAGCAACAGAAGACGCTTGTTTATAAAGTCAGGATTTCATGCAGTTTCTCATTAAAATGGGGCATTTAATAAACATTAAAATAAATCTCAAAGGCTTACACTAATTTAACATACACAAAAATAAACCCACCTTGCTGACCATTCTCTTCAAACTTTTTCTGTCTTGTAATCAATACAGGGCAATAAAAACACGCACCACCGGGCTGTTAAAAAGCTTTCATGCAAGAGCTGTCATTGAACTGAACCTTGCTGCTAGGAGTTTTCTCTAACAGTGATTCTCCTGGACAGTTAGTGCACTACAGCATCTTTACGTTTAGCTAGTAAACCACAACACCTCAACATTTAGCATACCAAAAGGCCAAGTATGTCATCAAAAAGGACCAGAAGTGAACTTTTAACTTACAGGCCAAACTTCGTCAATCAGGTCAATCTGACACTGTGGTGCCGGATATGAAGAAATGAACTTGAGCTAATATTCTTAACTAATCCTGCATACGTCATGAGTCCTACAGAACTTTATCCTCTTTGCATAAAGTCTATATTCCTGCTCATAAATTACTTTAAAACTTCATATAATCAAATTTTGTGGAATGAACAATTTGTTTAAATCCAAAGTGTTTGAATAAGTGTCCTATACTTTACATTAATGAACAATGGGTTAAAATGAAAATTTTTCATGTAATGATTCATTTCAGATCTTAAATTATACCAAATTAGTATTTGTTGATTTTAAGAATTAAATATCAGTATATTCACACCTCATAATATTATCAATGTTGAGCATTTTTGCTCCACATAACTGTTATAACATTTTCACCTCACACTAAGAGTTAACCTCTAAGTATCTGAGTGATGGAGTGTGTAATGATAATAGAGGGTAAATTGCTTAAGACCTATTTATTATTAAAAAAGTTGACAATAATAATAACTGTCTTGTTTTTTAAAAATTATATTTTCTCGGTGGGTTTACCGTGGCTGCGGTGTAGGCGCGGTGACCCTTACCAGCCACCGTATCATCTGCTGAAGTTGCCGGCGGCACATGCGCACTTTGTTGTTTACAACCAAAACTTTCTTGAAGCTAAAGCTGAAATAATGGCCAAAGGAGGAGACGGCAGCGCTCAGGACATTTATTATCCCTCAAAGAAGACAAAGTGGGAAGTATGGGCATATTTTGGATATTTGAAGAATGCCGAGGGACAGTTGATAGAAGACGGCTATCCTGTTTGCAGCACATGCAGAAAAAGTGTCTGTGAAAGGCAGCAACGCTTCAAATCTCATGACACATCTGCGTGACCATCACCCACAACTCTACAGTCAACGCAAGGCAAGCTAACGTTAGCGTTTTAGCTAAAATGCGTGATCCGAGGATTTGGGTTGAGGGAGAATGCAACGAGTCGCTATATAAAGCAGCCGCAGCGCCGCTACCTGCATATAAACCGTGTCGTGGACACCCCCATGTTGAAATGACGCTATGCATTACGGGGCTCCCAGGGGCAGATAAGAGTTGGTCTCTCTCCGAGAATAATTATGAATTTAACAATGGTTACTGCCTGATGACATTTTCCCACATCTGCAAAGCTCACTGGAAGGACACAAACCGAGGACAGTATTTTCCTGATATGGGGTAAAAAAGTATCTGATTAGAAGGCTAATTGAGTACTGAGTATCATGTGATCTAATATTTTTAAAATGATGACATCAAACAGACAAAAATTAAGAAGTTATGGGCAAATATTGGTATTTTAAAGACTAAAGGGGAAAAATGTAAACAAATAACATAATTACAAAATAACAAATTTTAGGCAAAATTTAGACACAAACTCAGGACAATATTTTCCTGATATACAGGGTTTATGTAATTGTCTGAAAATGTAACACGTTTCAAAAAAATATATACCGCGATATTACCGAAAACCGTGATAATTTTGGTCACAATAACCGTGAGGTTAAATTTTCACACCGTGACAACCCTACTCAGAGCTGAGTTCTGGATGGAAAGAATTTGGTTTGCAAATAAACTATAAAGATGTTATTATCAGAACCACATTCAGACGCTATCTCGTTGTCTACCTCACCCGTTCTGGAATACCCCCATTGGATCCGAGATGTCCTGGGGCCGACAACCCCACTGCACCTGGCTTGTAGAAAAACCTTGATGCGCCCAAATCAGTCCTGGGATGTCTCCCCGGGTCACAACGATAGATGAAACCAAGCGTCTTAAAAATAACTCTGAAGGTGTTTTTAGTCAGCTTTGTTCTGCAGGAAACTATCTTGTTGTTTCAGCTTTGCAGGTGCGAAAAAGGTTTAAGGTTTTGACAACGTGTCAAAATTCTTCTGGTTAAAGAGGTGCTAAAGATGGCCGGTCTGAAGCTCGCTCTATGACACTCGAGCTGTTGAGCTGTTCGAACTGAGGGAAAACCAGAGCTAGCTAGTTTTAATGGACTGATGTTATGATTGACTAACCAACCACAGGTTGACAAGTTTGAAGATATTACCAAGCATCGCAGAGACACACCCTCTGTGATGGAGACTCCGAATCTAGGCAAAAGGTTAACTAATGTGTCATGCATAACTTAACTTTACTTGTGAGTGCAAATGTTGTGACCTCATCAAGTAAACATACTAAAACAATCATTGAGCACAGATTAATGAAACATTTCATTATTTATATTTATAAATGGCAATATTTAATGATTATCCTTAATTATAAAATCTTCTGTCTTCTTGGAATAACAGTTTATTTATCCTCTGTGATAGACCTTGGAAGAGAAAATGTTTATTGTTTATCATTTATTATCTCTGCAGTCCAGCTGGTGTGAGGAATTAGGCTCTGATTAAAGGGACTACATGCAGACTTCGAGTCTCCTGTGAGGGGAAAAGATTGTAGGATGTGTCATAGCCAGGGTAAGTTGACCTGGCTGTGCATTTGACCTGTGGGATCTCAAAATCAGGCCATTTCGTGACGTTACAAGTGATTCTCTGAGGTATTTTGATAACGCCTTTTAAACTTGTCATACTGTGATTTGTCTAAATTTGTCAACAACAGTTAATAAAAACGGAGATCACTTCCTGATCTAGTCAGTTTTCCACAGCCTCCTGGTTCGTCTGACCGGGTGAGCAAGCATTTGGAACCATCCTCTCTTTTGACTCTAACTCAAAGCCTCTCTGCAACGCTTGCGAGTGCATCAGATGCTAAATAAATACGCCAGCTTCCTGACGTCACCTGGGAGGTCCCTCAGAGCAGACGGGTTGTACTCAGAGCTGAACTACGGGTTCCGTTACCCAGAGGTCCACTCTACCGGCAGTGTCCATACCGACCTCTTGACCCCCTGGATCGCACGAGGGCCTCCAACAGAAAGGGTTCAGAAAGTTTTTCTGAATAATCTCTAGCCTTATACAGTCAAACTGATTTTACAACCCAGACATCTCAAAATCTCTAATACTTAGTAAGGTTTTTCTACTACCTTCTACCATTCCACTCATTGTCTGTCATGTATAATCATTAGTTTAGAAATAAAGAATTCAATTCATTTTTATAAACTATATTCTTGACTCTGTCTGAATTAATATGAAGCATGTGTTCCATGAATAGTCCAAAGAACCTAAGGTAATGTTAAATCAAATATTCAAAGACCAATCAGATTGATAATTCTTATTTATATGGAATATCACATCTTATTGATAATTTAATATGTAGCGACCTCTAAAACGCTACAACATGTGACTGTACATTTATATTATGTTTACTTAATATTCAGTTAATTGTTTAGACTTGTCTTATTACCAGTTTACATTTATACTTTTACATTTTTACACCTTAAACTGTGTGTGTGTGCGTGCGTGCGTGAGCAACATCTATTTTAGCCTTGTTATTTTATTTTAATCACATTTTACTACCTCTTTACGTGAGCTGTCCTTTTGTGAGCGCAATGTCAATTTTCGTTGACTTATATTTGACTAAGGACCTGGCTTACGCACATTTTGGACATGGAGAGCATCTGCAGTGCTGCTGCTGAGAAGGATATAATTATGAAATCCTGCAGCATTATCACTTGTACTGCTTCGTTTTCACACAGAACAAGACCCCCCACACGCACACACATGCGCATGTACACATACATGCACGCACACTCACACAGCCTGAGACACAGAATACGGAATGCAGAATATCAGCAGGGGGACAGATTGAGACAGAATGTCATGCGTCTGTGACAGTGTGTGTGTCTTGTCACTGTGAGCCGATTGTTCATGCGCCCTGGCTACTTGTATAGGGGCGATCTCCGTTTGGCTGACTGGTTAGTGCGCTTGACTTTCACCCGGGAGTCTTGGGATCGAATCCCAATTGGACCATTTTTTTTATATCTGCCTCAGATCTCTCTAGAGAATTCACAACATTGACGGCTTCAGCAACGCTGTGCCACTCCATGGATTTTCTCTTATTTGTTTTGCAAAAGCACTTCCTTTCATTTCTCCACCTCACCCACAGGTACCTCAATTTCTGCTTCTGTGAAATTGTGCTTCCTTGATCTGCCTTGATCTACGTTCGCCATGTCATTGGCGGAGCTCTGCAACAGCCGGCTTATGTACATGCATGAGCTCCACAAGGCACTTTGCATTGACTATTTATGGCAGTAAGTGGGCGTGGTGAGGGCGGAATGTGACTAAAATGCAGCTGAGAAACATTCTCGTTAGTCTCCGATTTATGAAGCGGAGATTGCGTGCAGCTGTGCGTACTCCATGTTTGATAGATCACAGACCTACTTGGCGTAAGTAAATATTTTTTGCTGAGCTTAAGTACGGTTTTAGTAAGGATTCTACGCAATGTTTGATAAATGAGACCCCAGAGCTTTAATGGAAAGCAGACAGCAGTTGGTGTCATGTTATGTGTGTGAAAGTGTGGATGGGTTGTCACTGTTCAAGCATGTGGGTGAGCCTGTTGAAACAATGAACACAACACAAATCTGTGGAAACGCGTAAAAAAAATCCTCTTACGTAAGTAAAAAGGCCCTTGGAGCAAAGTGAAATTCCACTCGCACTTTTCATTTTATAACATACATTTTTTTTAAATAGTTTAAATAAGCCTCCCGAAACAAAAACACATTATTAGCTTATTTGTTCTCTTAAAAATGTTGAGCATCCAAGTGTTTCAAGTTTTTGACACATGATTTTATTTTGAGAAACTGAAAACATTCAACACCTCTGCTGAATTCCTCGTGTGGGTTGGGCATTTGAGGGAGTTAATTTTGCTACTTAAAATTGAACATTTTGAATCCTAATTGAGTTCTGGTTCCTGGTGATTCTTTCTGAATATAAAGGTATTTTCAGATTAAAGTTATTGTTGAAGCATTAACTCTGATGAGGTCTGTTGTCTCTGTAGAGCTGGTGGGTGCTCTGGACACTCAGAAGATAACGATGGTGTCGTGTGGTTGGGCCCATTCCATGGCGGTAAACGAGCAGGGCCAGGTGTTTGCGTGGGGAGCCGGTGACAGGGGACAGCTGGGCCTGGGAACAGCAGAGAACGCCGTCCGAATCCCAAGGTGACTGTTTGATTCATTGTTATGGAATGAAAGTTTAAGCTGGAAGTGATAATGATGATGTCCACACTGGTTCATTTAGCAATAAAAAAGGGATGAATGCAATTCTCTTTAATCTTAACCTTTCAATGCACTAATACATTTAGGATTTAATAGTTTACTCATACATCTTGCCGTTTTGTCCAGGTTGGTGAAAAGACTCTGTGATCACAGCATCTCTCAAGTGATGTGTGGGAACCAGCACTGCATCGCACTTTCTCGAGGTGTGAACGACACAAATCTCTCCACAACACAGTCGCACTGTTCCACAGAACATGCAGGGAAAAAGTGCTAATCCACCTCTGGGCTGCACTTTTCAAATCCTCATTCATATGCATTTCTTTATTGATTTATGTGATGAGCTGTGGAGACAAAGGTACTTTACCCTGATTGACCCTGTGACATCACGCTCATTCCCGAGGGTGAGTCGATGGTGGGGAATGTCAGTCAGCCTCATCAGGAAAGTTTCTGCTTAGTATGACATGTCAGAGGTCATTGGTGGAGATTTGCATTCCCAAACGGGGGATGCTGTTATGTTGGGGATGGCTTTGAACTGACTAAATTTTATCCGTTGTCTCTTTGTGTGTAAATGTTTAATGTTAAGCCTTGGGCTCACAGAGCTTTCACCTTCTTTAAAGCTACGCATCAGTTGCACAACACGGTGGTTTTTATGCCAAAACTGAGAGCCTAAACTGGGAGCCTAAAGGTATTTTTCCAGGAACACTACGCAGAGTAACTTGGACCGATGCAGCTCGCGCTAGGGATGGTTACCGAATTCGGTACTTTTTAAGGTACCGACCGAGCACCAATTCATGTCATTTCAAACGGTGCCTCGTTTCGGTACCCGTCCTTCACAACGAGAACTTGCCTAGACAGCTGCGCATGCGCAAGAGCGTTAAGTCATCGGTCGCTGCGAGTCAGTAGTAAACAGAGCAGCATGGTAGAAAGAACGAACGCTAAAGCTTGGGTCCACTTCACTAAATGTGATGGGTAACTGGGTGATAATGAAACCAGCAACAACGATCTAAGTGAGACATCCTCATCTTAATCTGCTCCGGTAGGTAAATAAAATGTAAGATAACGTTAGCTTGATTTGTTAGCTTCCGTTTCACTAATGGTGCGTTCGCTTTCTCCTCGGAACTCCGAAATTCCCACTAGAAGAACATGAACACGCACCAAAGTTTGGCTTCACTTTACTAAATCCGACGGGTGAAGATGAAACCAGTGACAACGATCTAAGTGTGAGGCATCACCGTTTTAATCTGCTCCAGCAGCTAAATAAACTGTTTAAGATAACGTTAGCTTGATAAATTAGCTTCAATTGCCACCAT